TTGTTATAATTCAATATAAAAGGCAAGGATAATGTATTTCATAGGTTTTATATAAAACAAGAAATGATTGTAACAGGATGCTGTTACGAAGTCTCCCAAACGAAGCTCCCATAATTCGTAATTCCCAGGGTCGCCTGACATTGGGCAACGTCCAGTGAAAATTGGTTTGGTCCAGTAAAGTTATATGCATAAGTGATGCCTGGGGACTAACCTTGTATATCATTCAAATCATCTTGGCATGACAAACCAGAATATATATGGTTTAGGGGTGGGGATCTCAACCATTTACAAGATACTAGAACATTGGGGGTGGGGGAACCCCTGGGGACTGACCGTATACGTCATTCAAATGTTCGAGACATGACAAATAGGAATATATATGGTTTAGGGGTGGGGATCTCAACCATTTACAAGATATTAGAACTTTCTCAAATGGCAGGGGGTCGGGATGACCCCTGGGGACTAACCCTGTATATCATTCAAATCATCTTAGCATGACAAATCAGAACATATATGGTTTAGGGTTGGGGATCTTGACCACTTACAAGATATTAGAACTTTCTTAAATGGCAGGGGGTGGGGTGACCCCTGGGGACTAACCCTGTATTTCATTTGATGTGCTTTATCATGACAAACCAGAATATATATGGTTTAGGGGTGGGGATCTCGACCATTTACAAGATATTAGAACTTTCTCAAATGGCAGGGGGTCGGGATGACCCCTGGGGACTAACCCTGTATATTATTCAAACCATCTTAGCATGACAAACCAGAATATATATGGTTTAGGGGTGGGGATCTTGACCACTTACAAGATATTAGAACTTTCTTAAATGGCAGGGGGTGGGGGTGACCCCTGGGGACTAACCTTGTATTTCATTTGATGTGCTTTATCATGACAAACCAGAATATATTTGGTTTAGGGGTGGGGATCTCAACCATTAACAAGATATTAGAACTTTCTCAAATGGCAGGGGGTCAGGATGACCCCTGGGGACTAACCCTGTTTATCATTCAAACCATCTTAGCATGACAAACCAGAATATATATGGTTTAGGGGTGGGGATCTTGACCACTTACAAGATATTAGAACTTTCTTAAATGGCAGGGGGTGGGGGTGACCCCTGGGGACTAACCTTGTATTTCATTTGATGTGCTTTATCATGACAAACCAGAATATATTTGGTTTAGGGGTGGGGATCTCAACCATTAACAAGATATTAGAACTTTCTCAAATGGCAGGGGGTCAGGATGACCCCTGGGGACTAACCCTGTTTATCATTCAAACCATCTTAGCATGACAAACCAGAATATATATGGTTTAGGGGTGGGGATCTTGACCACTTACAAGATATTAGAACTTTCTTAAATGGCAGGGGGTGGGGGTGACCCCTGGGGACTAACCTTGTATTTCATTTGATGTGCTTTATCATGACAAACCAGAATATATTTGGTTTAGGGGTGGGGATCTCAACCATTAACAAGATATTAGAACTTTCTCAAATGGCAGGGGGTCAGGATGACCCCTGGGGACTAACCCTGTTTATCATTCAAACCATCTTAGCATGACAAACCAGAATATATATGGTTTAGGGGTGGGGATCTTGACCACTTACAAGGTATTAGAACTTTCTTAAATGGCAGGGGGTGGGGGTGACCCCTGGGGACTAACCCTGTATTTCATTTAATGGGCTTTATCATTTAGAACATTTTCAATTAAAAAGATTGTGTCTATCACAAACGGTTTTCAATTTATAATCATTTGAAAATTTAAAAAAATAAAATCCCATAGGGTTCTATAGTAAAACCCTCTTTTCTTTTTCCCCCTCAAAGTACCCCTTTAAAAACCCCATTGCACAAACAAAACCCTGATTGCACCACTAGACATGTTAGTCTAACATATTGTGAAACCCTAAGTTAATCTGACAAGCGGTTTTGGAGAACGGGTGCGGACAAGTTCAAATTTAAAAGCGGCGGAAGAAGAAGAAGAAGAAGAAGAAGAAGAAGAAGAAGAAGAAGAAGAAGAAGAAGAAGAAGAAGAAGAAGAAGAAGAAGAAGAAGAAGAAGAAGAAGAAGAAGAAGAAAAGAAGAAGAAGAAGAAGAAGAAGAATAAGAATAATAAGAACTGAGCAAAAACAATAAGTCTTTCCAAACTTCGTTTGGGAGACTTAATAAATGGGGAATGTGTCCATGGGACACAGATGATGCCCCTGCTTGCATATAACGTTATTAAGGGACAAAACTCAAGATTCGAACTGTAAAAGTGATGCTACCCAAAGTTGTACTTGATCAGAGTTTTGTGGTAATAAACTGTGTGTACGTTTCATAACATTTAGTTGAGGCAAACTTAAGTTAGAGAACGGAAACGAAAAATTCAGCAATTTTTCCATTTTTAAAGGGGCATAACTCGAGAACGGTAAAAGTGACACCATCAAAATAAGAACTTGATCTGTGTTTTGTGGTAATTAGCATTGCCCATAAGTTTCATAACATTTGGGTTGAGGCAAACTAAAGTTAGAGAACAAAACCAATTTTGGGACGTATGGACGGACGGACGGACGGACAAGGGTAAAACTTAATGCCCCCTCCGCTACGGCAGGGGCATAAAAATTTGTTGCACTTCAATATGGCCGCTGTTTTTTTTTACTAATACTATGCGATATATAATTCAATATGGCCACTTTTTCAGTTATTATGAGTGTTGAAGACCTTAAATGATATTACCATTTAAAATGGCCACCATTACACTTTGTTTTACATGTAGTATAAATTCTGAATCTGTTTAAGTTTCCTTACATGAATAGACTTAATCCGTTTTGTTTACACATTTTTTTATACAGTAATCATTATCCAAACATCTAACCATCATTATTTATGTCTGTTTTTAACTTTAGGATTAATTATGGAGTCTTGGAAATGAAGGCATGTAATAAAATATAATTTAGCTTTAAAAAATCAATGATTCTCCATATCCATTATTTCCAGTGATAGTTAAGTGAGAGCGAAAGTTTGATTATTTTCTGGTTAATAAAAGCTCCCCCTTAATTTCTAATTCCTTCTTATCTGATTTTTAGTATTTTCACCAATAGAATCTTTCTACTTTCTACAGGGAACACTTATTTTTTACGATCCTACTCTCTGATTTTACGACTACATTTGGCAAGAAATTTGATTGTGTACCAACTTTGACATGGAGCTGATCCAGTTATGGTCACCCTTGTGGCCAGAAAAATAGGATTTATTATCGGAAATAAAGTTGTATTTACATTCCACAACATGATGGAACACAGGTCTGAAGGATAGGATGTTTTGACTAGCAGGCAAAGCAATCTATGTAATGGAATTCTGGTGTATTCTATAAAGCTGAGGCAGAATTAGAATTTATTGTTTTGTCGGCTGTAATAAAATTTCTTATAATAGTAATTGTGATAGCTTAACCAGGTTTATGAAAATCAAAGAGAAATATGTCTGTACATTTCCAGTTCATTAAAATTATGTAACTGCGATGAAACTAAAATTCAAAGATGACATTTAGAAATTTTTGGCATTTCTATTTAGGCCCATATTGGTTTTTTCACAATTTTTGTGCTCTCAATACTTTTATATTCCTGGCTACCTTAACTGTTAGTTTCAAGAAGACCCAATGGATTTTATTCTAGAATCAATTGTGCTGCACTGCACCTTATAAATCATATCTCACATTTTTATTTACCAGGCAGACCAGTAATTTTAAAGCATCTTCTTTTGTATTTTTTTAAGAAATTGAAACAATTAATGTTAATGCTAATGAATCTAATAACCAAAGAATCAAAACAGAATATTTTTTAGTGTCTCATTTAAGGCTAAACTGTAAGAATCCTAGTTTTTACCTATTTGTGTGTAAATAAATGTTATAACTTCAGATAATTGAACTATTTTTTTTATCATGTAAATCGAGCTGTAACTATTTACACATAATATGTTTTTTAAACCTATGATGAAACCCAAAGTGTCTTAGATTATTGATTTCTTGAATATTTTTGGTGATGACAGAACATAAAAAGGAATATTTTCCTAACAAATTAAAATATATTCTACTGCCATATTTGTTAATTAAAAATACTTAGTGGTTCTTTTCTCACATCTAACCTGAACAACCAAGATTTCATCAAAGTCCACAAACTTGACTTGAGATTGTAAACAATTTGTAGATATGAAAACTTGAGTGTTAAACTCTAACAAATATCTGTGAAACAAAAAACTTTAATCCACATTGAGGTACATTTAGTTTAAATATCTTATAAATATTGACATTGGGAACAAAATATCAAACCTAACAATCTATAAAATTCTCATACTTTTTATATGCAACCATGGTATTTTACAGGGCTGTCAAAGGGGATATCTTTACGATGCAGTAAAAATGCCATGGATGCACTTTTTTGATAATTTGATAGTTAAGGAAATCTAAAATCTCATATTACTGCATTATTGCCAAATAATTACTATATCTATTAACATCTTATGACCTCAATATGATTAGATTAAAATTTAATAACCTTTTGCTTAAAGAAAGTAAAAAAAAATAGAATATATATTCAAATATTTTTATTGCACCATCATGTTTTAATTTTTCTTATCTTTTAGCACATGTTTTCTGTAAAGAGCTTCTCCTTTATTCATTTGCATTTTTTTTCTTTTCTATTTTTAATAATCAAAGAATTTTCACTTCCTTCTATAAGTTTCTTTACAAGCAACCTTCCGAACTACCTCTTTACTGAAAGAACATTAGTTTAACCTTTGCACTTTTACACAAAAGTATCATATCATTGTTTTGATTTTGTTATCATGGGTCCTCTATAGGAAATAGATGTTTATTTGTCTATATTGTTTGCCTGAGTTTAATACATGCTTAACTAGGTTGATATCTAGAAAAAAAATTCCACTGTTTTAGGTAGAAGGAGAGTCAAAGCTAAAGTCCAGGAGACAGTAACCCAACAGCACAGCATATAGATACATACCTAGACATTCTGTTCCATTGTTGCCTTCATATCCAGCTATGCACTGACAATTACCGCTATTATAATACCATTGCCCAGAACTTCGGCACAACAGGGTCGCCTTACTCTCCATCTGTGAGTTTGCGATGCACACACCTTCTCTTTCTTCTAATGCCTGCGGACTACTTCCAGTAGGTGTCTCCAAGAAGAATGCATAGTTCATAGTTATATTTGGACATTTGATGTAATAAACTTTAATAGAAATTAAAGAAACACACGCACCAGTGTCTTGAAAAGCTAAATAAACCCCTCCTAGTCCTTTATTTAAGGCTATTTCTTGTTTGTCAAAATTTAATTTGATTTCTTCTCCTTGTTTGCCCTCGTACAAATAATCTGCTGCAATCACATCGACTTTTGTATAAGTCGTAGCATCCCATGATGGCATTAGTTCATTGGCAATGTCTGAATCTGCTTCATAATAGTATAGATGAAAAGTCTCTTTACATGCCGTTAAAGAGCTTGGATCTGAATGTCTAGAACATTTTCTCATGGAGAATTCTATTTCTACACTAATACTATTAGCCTTGTCTCTGTCTATAAAAGGTGTCCGTAACCAGTTGTCTACACCATTACTACTAACTGAACACGAGGCATATACTCGTATGGGTGATCCATCTTTGGTGTAACTTCCTTCTCGCCACTTAAAAATAAAGATTAGAATGTAAATTATATGATTCTCTAGACAATCATTACTCTTTAACATCAGGTCTGGTCCCCTCCCGAACTTGTTTTACAAAAACTGGTACATTTAACAAAAAGTTTTGTGTCCTTAACAAGCTTAACTAGAAATAGTATGTGTCATAAATGCTACAAAGTTGTATAAATTGTATAAGAAAAAGATTTTTTTTAAATATTTGACTTCTTGCCCATCATTGGTCCTCAATCGAAAATAAATGTTTGTCTCAACTGTTTTTTGGGCTGTTGGGTTGCTATCTCATTGAAATAATTGACAATTTCCTTTTCTTATATTTTGGTCACCAATAATAAACAAGGCGGAAGGCCCTTAGACCACATGGCAAACTTGAAAATATTTTCCTGTCTCTTGAGTTTGAAAAAAATTTCAACATACATGAAACGCTGGTGGATCATTAAAAAAGATATCTTAATTTCAATTAGAACAACAGATCTTGGAAATTAATTCACAGCTTTCAGATTTAAAAGGTTAAGCTTATTCATTGGCTTTCCTTCATTTACATACAGTCAGTGAGGTACATTCAAATATCAATCTATACTTTGGAATAACATTTTGTTTCTGTACATACTTGAAGTACGTAGACAATGTACTCTTGTTTAATTTCATAATGAAGTGGAAAATATGCAAATCTTATCAATTTCATTAATGAGCGAGACTTTTTAAAATTTTCTTAAGTAGGTTTCATTAGCTATGAATTGTAATCAAGAATTCAACTTTTGTCTGAGATGTACAACCAAACACCACAGGAGAAAATTAGCGATGAACAAATAATAATACTTTCTTCAAATAAACACATTTTTGTCAATTTACAAAATACACATTGCCATCTGCACTTTCTAAAAGAATTATTTATTTTGAATAAGGGAACCAGTAGCTTAAAATTCAGAACAATAGAAACCAAACCAGAGCAATCTCCTATAGGTAAACATCAAACAATTTTACCTGACAAAAATATCTATAGGGCACCTGCTCAGTCTCTCAGGTGTAAATCAGAGATACCTATCAGACAGAATGTTGACATTACAGATTGAATCTCATAATGGACAAACACTGACCACTGGCTAATCAGCTATAGATTTCACAGTGAGATGGACAAGTAAACTGCCCATGGCAGCTGATGATACAGGCAGTACCAGCAGACCATTAAGTATTTAATACACAGAGAACAGGTACCTAAAGTATCACTCAACCAAATCAGATACTGGGATAGAACGAACAACAATAATAGCAGAAAGTCACACTGCCATAGATCACTTTTAAGATAGATACTGTAAACAAAATCTATTTCAGGGGTTTTTATATTTGTAGAAAGATTGACTATATCCTGGTGGCCAGTTTTTACTGGTAGATGAAGCTGTATCGCTTTGAGAAAACCATCAACCTTCAACAGGTAAACTGTAATTTGTCCAAGTCAATTAATACTAGAGTCAAACGCACCTTGCAACAAACCAGGAAGACAATTAGATGACCAACACATGACAGCTGTAGAATTTTCTAAGTTTTCAGTGTCTGACTGTTCACTAAGCTGTAGGATTTTCTAAGTTTTCAGTGTCTAACTGTTCTCTAATCTTACAGGAAATAATCTTGTTACTTAGTACTTGAAAGAAATTTTACTCCAGATAAAAACAAGTTTCAGACATAACTTCTAATTACACTATCAAACCATAATTCAATTTTTAGTCTTCAATCAAGTCAAAAAAGAAAACTGACATTTGAATAGCATGTTAGTAATTCCATTGGATGAAAACATTGCATGCCAACAGTACCATAAAACTAGCAATTTATATAGTTTTATCAATATTATCTAATCAAATTAATTTCAATACCTGCTAAAGGTACTTCTCTCCTGCGAGACTAATAAATTTTTCATCAGTTTTTTCATATACCGATATATACTAATGAAATAAGCTAAATAAAACTCATCATTGCACATCAAAGTTGGCAGCTCCTGTGTCTACTGTGATATTCTAATCTTATTCAAAATACAGAACTGCAGTTTTTGGAATCAATCCATTTTTTATTGAAATTAAATCAAGAAATTTATTTCCTATTTAAGAGAGCAGTGAAATAAAATTATTCATTTAAATAAGATTGAAAGGTCTAACAAAACAATCAAATTGAATTATCTATTCTTTTAGATAAGACTTCAGACTGCAGGTTGCATGTTTCCAATTTGCGGTGCTTTTGAAATTCCATTGCACAACACAACAGGGACAGAGTTTAATATCCAACTAGTTAGAATAGAAATTGTTATATAACTGTTTATCCAATAGTCTCTTCTCAGTCTCTTCAAAACAAAGGAACTCCCATATGATATTGTTATAAAAAATGATTAAATGATTTCGATGTTTTAAAAACAAAAAAATCTTATTTCTCATATACAGTTTACCTTTAATCCAAATATTTTTGTCAATGTCACCCTTCTATCCTGTTTTGTTCATTATAATTTTGTTATAAATACGATTATTTTATAACTGTGTAGCTTTGATTTCAATTCTGGACATGTTTTTTTGTCATAGAAAGAGTCCAAAGAAAAAGTATGGATAGACAGTTCCCGCCATTGTCATTTAATACTACTACCTATAAAAATAAGAAGATGTGGTATGATACCCAATGAGAAAACTCTCCACCAGAGACCAAATGACATAGACGTTAACAACTATAGGTCTTAGTATAGCCTTCAACAATGAACATTTTTTAATATTTATACTGTTTGAGTGTATCACTTTCCTAGGTTTTCCATACCACAAAAAAAAAACTAGGGTTAAGTCCCTTTAATCTGCAAACATTTTAATGATGATGATCGCATGCTTTAAAACATTTATGAGATGTCACAGTATAGCAAACCAGAGTACAGGCAAATATTACCTGTCTATACAAACAAACCTAGCTAATCCCTTGTCTTTATAAACAAGGAGAGATTGAGGCTTAAAAGACAGAGATGTTAGATCGATTAGTGAACAACAAGTACAAGGTGAAATCCAAAAAGATGTATACTCATTTAGCTTAAAAATGTTTGTCAATGCACTGATAATATGTCAATCATTAAACTTGTCAGTTGTTTCTTTCACAGTCAAGATGTAAGAACACTCAGCTTAGCATTACTGTTGAAAAAAAATTCATATAATTCTATAGTATTTTAAGCAGATTATGTAAATTATAATTTTTATTTCTTTGTTCTAAAAAATTATGATGGTTAAGGGTAAAATGGGAATACATGGCACCTCTGCAGCATTTTGGGGTAAAATGCATTAACTCTTTTCCTTTATCTACAACTCCAAATGTTTACCATGTATTTCAACCTTTAATAAATTGCTTCGCCGAGCGCAGCTGGATACGACCGCAGAGGTCCAACCCTGAACAGTTGGGGCAAAAATGGACACAATATTCGCGCTTGATACAGTTCTGAATTTGGATTGTAATCAAGTATTTGACACATAAAAGGTTCTTACACAGACTGTAGTCAAAGAATTTAGAATTGGTTATATGATTTGAATTTATATTCAATTTTTTGCTTTTGTGCAATACTCTATGCTGTTGCGAATTGACCCCCCCCCCCCCCAAAAAAAAAAAATTGTCCCCCCACCACAATATTTTCACCTCCCCCCCCCCCCCTTAAAAAAAAATCTTTCCCTCAAGATATGGTCATAATCTCAATTCAAATTTCCAATGGAGTTTGCAACCATAATTACCCGTTTAAATACATCATAAAAGTCTTAAAATAGAAAATGACATACATAATCATGTTCCTTAGTCAGCATTTTTAATAGTAACTTCTAAAAATAAATTGACAGCTAATCACAGCTAAGACAATACAACATTTCTTTATACATAATTTAAAAGCAGTGTAAGGGAGGTAATCCAAACATATCCCTTGTTTTTCCCCCTTTTTTGCCCCTTATTCCTGAACGGTTTGAGCCATAACCCCCAAAGTCATTCCTAATCATCCCTTTGTGGTATGGAAACTTGTGGTCTAATTTCAGAGAGATCCATACACCTTTCCACAAGTTATTGTCTGGAAACTAGAAAAATGCTTATTTGGGCCCCTTTTTGGCCCCTAATTCCTAAACTGTAAGGACCATAAACCCCAAAATCAATCCCAACCTTCCTTTTGTGGTTATAAACCTTGTGTTTAAATTTCATAGATTTCTATTTACATTTCCTAAATTATTGTCTGGAAACCAAATGTCTTCGGACAACGCGGTCGTATAAAAACTGGGTTTGAACTTTATCACATGATACTTCAATATTTCAAAGAAAAAGGAGGTGGGAAAAGTAAAAGCTTGCAATGTAAATCTGAAAAGTTTTGATAAGGGATTTAAATGAGTTCTTTTCATGTCTTTATTCAACAATCTCCTGCAAGGCATATTCAATTGACCAGCTATATCCAAAACCAGTGTCACAATCTATACCTTCGCCAAAAGGTAAATAATCGGTTTTTACTTTCACTTTCCAATATAAATGGTACAATATTGATACAAGGATAAGTAAATGTGTATATAGATTTTAATGCTACAGTAATTACATGGTTCTGAATGAAAAGAAAATATTTCCATTCTTGGTCAATAAAACTGCCTACTGTAGAGCATTGTTTGTATAGTGACCGTAATTGTGTATCTATCCTATACCATTGTTTTGAAACTGTTTGCTAAAGAATTGCCAGGAGGATTGGTAAATAAAAGAATGATTTCCGATGTATTAGGTGCATTCTTTGAATATTAAAAGTAGTGATGTATGATATGGCTATGCTGTTTGGAAAAAATCATAACAGGGTGTTATGGAGTTTAAGTGCAGTACACTGAATTACAAAATAAACTGCTTCGCTGAGCGCAGCTGGATACGCCCGCAGAGGTCCAACCCTGAACAGTTGGGGCAAAAATGGATACAATATTCAAACTTGATACAGGTCTGAATTTGGATTGTAATTAAATATTTGACATATTACA